ATAACAATTATAAACATTTTAAAGTTGTCATAGAAAATATGTATGAATTTTTCTTGCAAAGAGAAAACCATCCATGTATTCCAAAAACAAAGATTTCATCAACTAAACAAATAATCTAACTAATCTTGCAAAAATGGCTATGATACCAATTGTTGGGTTTTTATTCAAAAATCCGGTTTTACAACTGGTAAAAATGACAATGGAAGCTTTAAAATTGTTGAATAAAACTAAAACTATTTTACCCACCAAGGATAATTTTGCAAGAGTTAGAAAAATTAAAACAACCATAGAAGGGAAAGCATAACAACCTTTGAAGACTTTGATCCTCATGGGAGGTTGGAAGTTGATGAAGTGTGGCATGAAACTCTAAAACAAGAGTTCTCTACAAGAATCCACCAAGCAAGAGTAGAACCATCAAAACATGCTAGTATTCACTTATAATTTGTTGTTCATAAGCCTTTGAAATATATACCAAATGTATGTTCAAAGTTGAAGCAACAAAGGGACATTCTTTAAACATCAAATGCAAGAGAATGGAGGAGAATAGGAGCTCAAAGCTCGAAATTTGGCAGCCCCTTTGAGCCTCTCATGCTCACGGTTTTGGCTTCAAAGAAGAAGGAGAAGGAGACTTGCAAGAAATGAAAGTCTTAAATGTTGCTTCTCTTTAAGAATATTTTGGAATATGTCTTAAAGCTTAAAAACAACATTTTACAAGTTTTATACTAGCATATTTTGGTGGATTAAGGTGTGGATTAAGGTGTGGACCACCTATGCAACCCTCTATAGCAGAAGAGGGAGACCAAAACGGCTGCAATATGTAATAAAAAGTTTGCTTGTTTTTTAACATCTGCAGACCATTTCAATAAGTTAAATTAAGGTGTGAAGAGATTTCAAAGCAGAGGGTCAAGTGTTGCGCCACGCAGCACACGCGCAGCAGTTTTTAAGTCAGAAGTCTTCTGAAAAACAAACAGCTGCGAAGGGTCAAGTGTTGCGCGGCGCAACAATAAATCGTCAGAAGTGGTTTTTTTTTTTTTTTTTAAAAAAAACAGCACCTAAGTCTTGTTTGGTGGATACTTCTAGAGAGCTTAATTTAAAGCTTAATGCCACACTTTATCAACTTTCAATCTCCTATGAGAATCAAAGTCTTCAAATGTTGTAACACTTAACTTTCTACGGTTTTTTTTAATCTTTGTAAGTCTTGCAAATGATCTTTTGGTGGGAATAAAACAAGTTCTATTTTATTTAAATCTAAAGTCTTTTGTTGCCATTTTATATTTTTGAAATAATTTTTGAATAAAAACTCAACATAACATTGTTCCACAATCAGGGTTAGTGTGTATGTCCACGGGGAGAATCAAATGACTTGTATATATTACTCTACACAAAATGGGGGTTATAAATTACTTAAATTGACCAAAATGAAAGAAAAAACTCTTTGTATTCAAAGAAAGCATTGAGATAAAAGGAGGAAAAATTGGCCCTAAAAAAAGTCTAAAATCATATATTTCAAGAAAACTCAATAGGTGCAAATGGCCATTTGGTCGCCATCTCTAGGTGGCCGGAAAGTGACCCTTAAAGTTGAAAATCACAACTTAAGTGTTGTTTGTTGTTCCGGAAAGAAAACGCATGAAGTCTTCGGACCACAACTGCAACCCTCTGTAGCAGAACAGGTGGACCACACACCTGCAGCCTATAATAAGAAGTTTGTTGTTTTTTAAGGTCTGCAGGTTGTTGCAATAAACTGAAATTAATCATACAATAGTTAAAAATAATTTTAAATCAAAATTTTATTTAGTTTAATCATATGCAAATCAAATATATAGATCATTGTGATGATATTATTTTTAAAAACATTCATATAAAATAATTAAACATAATATTTGTTAAATTAAAATAAATGAAATTGTTAATTTAGCAAAAAACATGTTTATTTTGTTAAATTTTCGAAGACGGTGGTTATTTTCCTGGTTAGCTTCAATAAATTTATTAATTTTAGTGATTAATTTTATAATTTATTCGTATTTGGTTATAGACAATGTAACACAAAAACATATTTGTATGAGATTTACCAAACGCTTTTTAATTTATGTAAAATATACTCGAATTATTTATAATATCTTTCATAATATTATTAAAATTATATTATTAAAATAACAAAAATGTTGTTGAAAAAAAATTAAAACAAATCTATATTGAATAATATAACTTAAAATAAGGTGAGAAGTTGTTTGAAGAGGATGGGCTGTGTTGCGTCGCACATCAGTTTTTAACTCAGTCTTCTAAAAAAAACAAACAACTGCAAAATGTCAAGTGTTACGCAACGTAACTAGAAGTAGTCAGAAGTGATTTTTCTTAAAAAAACAATCAACCCCTTAGAATGGCCAACGGGTGGCCAACAAATGGTGGTGGTAATCTGTATCACAAAACCCAAATTATGGCCACTTGAAATGGCTAGCAGGTGGCCATCGCCACCAGGTAGTGATTTGTAGTTGTCCAAAATTTAGAACATGATTTCCAAATCAATCGTGTATAGACACATTGTATGTCAAAATTACAACGGACTTTGCTCCCAAGCTTGATTCCCAAAACCGATCCAACTGCAGTTGTAGAGTACAATATGAATTCCCCATTAAGAATCCTTCCAAAATCAACCAAGGAACCTAACAACGGCTTAGTATGCTTTCATTTACCTATTCTGTTAATTGTCAAAGTTTTACCCGTTAGTACCCCAGGTTCTTTTCGGGTAAGGTTATAAAAGATTATAATAGTATGTTTATAAATTACATTAATACTAGCATCCTAACTTAGATGGAAACGTTAAAAAAATATTTACTTTTGTTTTTAATGAGCTTGCATTATTTGTCGTTACAGGAGCCACATACTTGTAGTAGTTGCAACAGTTTTTGTGTTCTGTGGGTTATCAAAGACCCTTCCTTTAAAGCACCAAATGCAGACAGAGTGAACTAATTATGATAGAGAAATAAAACATAAAAAACAATAACAATTTAGTGGTCAACCACTAATATTCATGAAACATTAGGTTTTGGATTTATTTTTATTAGGTGATATCAATTACTTTTTAGGGTTTTGAACCATGATCGTAGGTGTTAGATAATAAAATTTTAAAGAAATCAATGAAAAGGACAATTTCAGACTAACAGTAATGTATTTCAGTTTTGCTATTAATATTAATATTGACAATATGAATTATTTTTACCTATAACAGTAACGAACTTATATATTTTTCTAATGTCACATTACATTATTACAGAGAAAAAAATAAATTTAGTTATAATTTTTAATCCTCCTCACAAGAGATGATAAAGATGTCATAACGATTTTGTTGGCTATTTCAGTCTTCTTTTTAATAATTGAATATTTTTTACTTAATGCTTAACAATTTTGGATAAAAAAAATCATCCTCTTTAATAAATGAAGGTTTTTTTTGCCACTTGTCAAAATTCTCAAGAGTTTTGGCACATGTAATTTTGTGGGAGTTTTAGAATTATTATTTTCCACTTGTCATTTTTTGGAAATTTCCATTTTTTAAAATAAAATTCCACAAAATTCTAACGAGCTTTATAAAAGGAAAGAAAATCATTCTATTAATTTGATAATAAAGTCTCATAAATGCTCTAAAGAATATTTGATTTCTTTTATAGATGTTCCAAAAGATTACATTATGTTACGTAAAAGTGTTATTTTATAAATTATTTAATGTTTAAATATTGATATTAAATTTTTATTTTTAATAAACTCGTGTAGTACACGGGTCTCACGTCTAGTTTGTTATTATGAATGGAAAATATAGATATGTTGCTCTGATGAGTAACAAATTGACAATATATTTGCTATTATGTGTAAAAATATACATATTTGCATTCCTATTATGACTTTCATTCCCATTATTGGTAAAAAAACATAGATACATGAGCATTATTGGAGAGAACATACATACCCTGTAATGGTTAAAAAGTAAACTACATTGACATTTCTTTTTCAAGAGTGTCCTAAAAATAAATTAAAACAAAAATTTCTACCTTTATAAACACATGCCCACTTCCCCCTTCTTCTCGCTATTCCATCTCTTACCTCTTTCTCTCTCTTTTCCATTGTTGGTGGTCAATTACTGTTCCTGCTTCTGTTTTCTTCTGATTACAGAAGCAGACATCTTTCCATATTTTCTTTGTTTACTAAATCTTTATAAAAATCTATTCAGTAAAACTGTCAATTCCGATCCAAAATCAAATGGGTTTGCTTTGAATTCGACAGTTTTACTGTATTTACGATCAAAATCCAACCTAAAACAGCAAAAAAAGGAAAACAGAGCATCCTCTGTTTTCTGTGCTTTCAGTTTCTTGTGTATCTTGCTCTGTAAACAAGAAAATGGGGACGATTCCAACGATTAAAATTCCAGTAGAATCGTTTACAAATGGTGGAGACGACATCACAGGGAGAATCATGGTGATTGGGGGCCAAATCAAGGCGCCATTAGTGGTGCCATTGTTGAGAATGTTGATGTATGTTTCTCTTGCGATGTCTGTAATGTTGTTCATAGAGAAGGTTTATATGTCTTTGGTGGTTGCATTCAAGAAATTGTTTGGGAAAAAAGCAGAAAAACGTTATAAATGGGAATCATTCAAAGATGATATTGAATTGGGTAACTCTGTTTACCCTTTGGTTCTTGTTCAACTTCCGATGTTTAATGAAAGAGAGGTTTGTTTTCACCATTGCTCTGTTTTAGTTTTTTAGTTTTAGTGTTTGATTTTTGTTTGATTTTGTAAACAGGTTTATCAGCTGTCGATTGGAGCTGCATGTGGGCTTTCATGGCCTTCTGATCGTATTGTAATTCAAGTTCTTGATGATTCAACAGATCCAGTGATCAAGGTTGATAGTTTAATTAAAACCCATTTTCCATAACATGCAACAAATACTTTTTTATTGTCAAATTTTATTTTATTTTTGTTAAGGTAATATGAGTTTGCAAAATAGAGAAAAAGAAAATGTAAATTTTGCAATTATATCAACTAAGCATCTCAATCTTTTGTTAAAGATTTGAATGCATAATCAAATAATCAAATAATCAATAATACAATTATATAATTTTGACAAAACAAAAAGAGTGTAGGGTTTTAATGAATGTAGAAATTAATGAACCTAAGAAGAAGTAAATTGTGTTATATTATTGGTTTATTATAAATTGTGTTATAATATGGTAATCTAAAAAACCATAGAGATTATATATTATTTTTTTATTTTTTAAATGACCATTTCCTGATTATATAGCTTTTTAGTACGAAATGAAAATAATATTAAAGTAAAATGTTATACTAGTGGTTTATTAGAAATATAACATTATTGACATGTGTTCAATTCAAATTTGGTAACATGATCCATTAAAAAGACAAATAAAATCTAGTCCATTAGTTATGACTTTTGAAAGTATGAGGGTTTGCGTTAAATTTTCTATAAGTAACCTTTGTAGAAAAAGAAAAATTATGCTCCATAGTTAAAAAAAAAAACATTTGTTTATACGGGTTAAATGTTTTTTATTAAATAATATGTTACTTTTCTAAACTATTTAATAAAGTGGTTTTTAAGTTAAATATATAACCATGTTCCATTCTATGACCAATACTATATAATATTTTACTTGTAAGTTGTAACTTATATAATATATTGAAATATGGTTGTGAAATTTATGTTATTTATTATAAATTATAGATAGCAAAATATTGTTGTATAAATTACCAAACAAAATAATATAGTGTTACATAAATAAACATTCACCACATAATAAGCTAATCAGTCTACTGTCACAATGTTATGTATTTCAATTTTAAAATGAGATGTATTTATATATTTCATTCAAAAAAACTATTTAGTTTTATAAAATGATGATTTATTATTATTAATAATGCATATACCACTTAACATCTTAATCTTATATTAATCTTTGTTTAATTTTACTTATTACATGTTTGGACCCATATGGTAAATTAGGGTTTGGTGGAAATGGAATGTGAAAGATGGGCAAATAAAGGTATAAACATACACTACCAAGTGAGGGATAATCGGAAGGGGTACAAAGCCGGAGCACTTAAAGAAGGTCTAAAACATCGATATGCAAACGAGTGTGAATATGTGGTCATTTTCGATGCAGATTTTCAACCAGAATCTGATTTTCTTTGGAAAACAATCCCGTTTCTTCATCATAATTCTGAACTAGGTCTTGTTCAAGCTCGTTGGAAATTTGGTAAATGTTCCTCTAAAACTAGTCCATTATTTTATTTCTGTTTTCTCTTCGTTTAAAAATCAAGCATTTAACTCAAAAATTGATACTAAGTATTTTAAAATGCCAATAGTTCGTTCTTAATAAATCAAAAGGCCCACAAAAACCATAAATTAATTATTATATAAAACGGTCTATGAAATAACGGGTTAATGAGCAATTTATTTAATAAAATTATGTTTTTACCTGTTTATGAAACGAAATAAATTTCTTACCATACACTATGTGTCAGTTTTTACTTGTTATTTTAACAAACTAAAATTTAGAGCATTTATTGTTCTAAATAAATATGTTGAGTTAGAACATATATACTTTAGTAAAAATATACAGCATTATTATTTAAATATATTATTAACCTTCAAATAAAGTGAATAAATAAATCAAACATAAAGATCCGGCATTATTCAAAAGTCCATATTTGTCATATCACCAAATTCCAAACGACAAATATGCTTTGTTGAGTTTGAGTTGGTATTCTAGTTGAATTTTTTTAGTATTTTATGTTGACTTAGATTGACAGTTTTACCAATTTAAAATACTCTTGCTTGTTTATATATAATAAAATAAAAAATGAATTATTATCATCCATTAAAATAAGTGTCGGTGCAACTATACATGCCCATGCAGGAGATTTAAGGAAGATGTTGGATGATGGGACACGTGTAGTGGGGGTTTTAAGGAGAGACTGAAAAGTAATAAATTAATTAAATTAATAATTAATCTTATAAAAATCTTATATTTTGTATTTTTTTTTCCCAATCAAATCAATTTCTTTTCTTGAAAAATACCCTTTTTTATTTTTATGCCTTTTAGTCATTTTTCCAAAAAAATTGTAAAATATGATGGGTTTTTTGAGAATAACTAAAAAAGTTAAGGGCTATTTAGAAACATTTAGAAGTTTGAGGGTTTTTTTCGAAAAAAATAAAAGATGGAGGTTTTTCGGAAAAAATAAAAAAAAAATACATGATTTTTTTTCAACAAAAATAAATTTAAAGTTTAATTCCAAAAAAACACGTATTTTATGAAATTAAACCTTCAATTAAATAAGAGATTACATAAGGAAAGGATAAAACAATTTAATTAATACGACACCTATCTAATAAAAGAATTTAAAATATAAAAAACCTAATAAATACAATAGCTAGTGATTATAATTTAGAATCAGCTTTATCAAACCTTTCATAAAGTTTTAACATAGGGTGTTTTGGTAGCAAATTTTCGAGAGTTTTTGAGTTTTCAAAAAAAAATCTAATTAAAGAAAAGATTTGTTCGATGTTACGAGCTTTTAGGAGTCATTTCAAACTAATAAGCTCTTAAATTCTATACGCTTTCGGTAGTGAGGTTTTTAGAAGATATAAGAAAAAAAATCAAATTAAATATATATATATATATATTCGGCGATAAAAGCTTTTAACATTTTTTAAAAGTTCATAATCCAAAAAGATTTTGAGAGCTTTTAGCATTTTGGAACTTTTACCTTTTATTTTATTTATTTATTTATTTTTTACTTAGAGCTAATTTTGCGAAACACGGATCCATAGACATAATTACAAACCCAAATGTTTTTACTTTATATCATCTAGATTTGGTTTATAAACAGAAAAAATAATACTAATATTATTTGTAGTTATTAGATAAAACTGTTAATCATATGCCAATAGTATTTAATAAACGTTAACTGTATTGAAAGTTTTAAGCATGGTTACTATAAAGCATGGTTACTATAATATGAAGTTCTTTAGAAGTTTTTTCAAACTAATAAATGCTAGAGATTCTAAAAGATAATTATTGGAAGGGTTTATTTAAACAAAACTTTATCAAACAGCATATAATTTTGCAAGATTTTGTCATGAGATTTCTTAATGATTGTGACGGATCCTATAGATTTTCAAATGATCATATATAAGACAATTTATATAAAATGGTAAAAATAAAATTAATAAGTTACATAATTTTCAACAAATAGTTTACAAGGCCAAATGCCAACTCATTGTATGTTCTTGTATATAAACAATAAAGAGGCAAGGACCCATTTGTTTATATTCATAATTATTTTTGATGCGAAGTGAACTTTTTTTTTCTTCATTTGTCACATCATTTTCAACAAATAGTTTACCAGGCCAAATGCAAACTCATTATTTTTTCCCCCATTAACTCTCGTCACAAAGATGATCTTATTTTATGCTCTTCGGTTATGTTTTATGTGTTGCTTTCAAAACGACTTGGTCAGTTTCTAAAATTAAAATATTAGTAATTTTCTTTTTCTTTTTAATTTTGATATTAATAGAAATTTTTATTAACAGGAAAAATGCTTATTAATAATCAGAATAGGGATAATCAGAAAAATAATCAAATGATTTTATATATCTATATATATATATATATATATATATAT